CCGACATGAAGAGACATGATGATAAATGCATCACTGTCAGATCTCCTCCCAGAGAGCACACACACACACACACCCTCTTCATAAGAGCCAGTCGGTTTGCTTTTCTAAAAATACAGGAGTCGCCCTCCGAGACTCCAGGAAGTAGTCACTCCCTACTGGAGGCTTTTTGGTGGCTGGAGGTTTGAAAAGTTTCCCCTCAGACCATAAATGGAGTCCTGACGGGAGCAGGAGGAGCAGCAGGAGGGGATGAGAGTTAGTCCTGACAAACAGGAAAACACAAAATAATTCCGTTAAAAAACACAGGACTCCTCAGAGAGGATTGATTGATAAAATATTCTTCATTAATTCGGTTTTTGTGTGACTTCTATCTGATTAAAGACAAACATGACACACACAAACACACACACACACACACACACACACAAAAAACAAATAATTAAAGGGACATTTCAGCCAATCTGAAGTTTTTGGTCCTATCTACTCTGTTAGTCTTGAACAGCCTCGGTTTAGAGAAATAAAGTTTACATCCATCTTAACTGATGAGTTAACAGTTAATCATAGCTAGATTTACAACACAAGCAGCCACTCACACACACACGAGTGGCGATTAGCTTCCACGTAGCCTCAGCTGCCCTGGGACACACTGGCAGATGGGGACAATAGTTCAGGGGGTGGGGGTGTAATGGCCTGGAGCACAATGGTTGTTGATTGCCAGCCCGCCTCTACTAACAAAGGTGAGGCTGCCATACACGGGTCCACCAGTCCCTCCAATCACCTCCAGCTGGCATGGAGAGTGAAGTGCCTTGCCAAATTACACTACAACTGCAACAGATGGGGCTCAAACCTGCAACCTTCTGGTTACGGGGTGAGTCTTTGACTCCTCTACCACCGCAGCCAGTCTGAGGTATAGTTAATCCAAGCTAACAGCTAGTCTGAGGTATGATTAATCTGCGCTAACAGCCAGTCTGAGGTATGGTTAATCTGAGCTAACAGCCAGTCTGGGGTATGGTTAATCCAAGATAACAGCTAGTCTGAGGTATGATTAATCTGCGCTAACAGCCAGTCTGGGGTATGGTTAATCTGAGCTAACAGCCAGTCTGGGGTATGGTTAATCTGAGCTAACAGCTAGTCTGAGGTATGGTTAATCTTAACTAACAGCTAGTCTGAGGTATGATTAATCCAAGCTAACAGCTAGTCTGAGGTATGATTAATCCGAGCTAACAGCTAGTCTGCGGTATGGTTAATCTGAGCTAACAGCTAGTCTGAGGTATGGTTAATCTGAGCTAATGGCTAGTCTGAGGTATGATTAATCCAAGCTAACAGCTAGTCTGAGGTATGATTAATCTGAGCCAACAGCTAGCCTGAGGTATGGTTAATCTGAACTAACAGCTAGTCTGAGGTATGGTTAATCTGAACTAACGGCTAGTCTGACGTATGATTAATCTGAGCTAACAGCTAGTCTGACGTATGATTAATCTGAGCCAACAGCTAGTCTGAGGTATGATTAATCTGAGCCAACAGCTAGTCTGAGGTATGATTAATCTGCGCTAACAGCCAGTCTGGGGTATGGTTAATCTGAGCTAACAGCCAGTCTGGGGTATGGTTAATCTGAGCTAACAGCTAGTCTGAGGTATGGTTAATCCGAACTAACAGCTAGTCTGATGTATGATTAATCCAAGCTAACAGCTAGTCTGAGGTATGATTAATCCGAGCTAACAGCTAGTCTGAGGTATGGTTAATCTGAGCTAACAGCTAGTCTGAGGTATGGTTAATCTGAGCTAACGGCTAGTCTGAGGTATGATTAATCCAAGCTAACAGCTAGTCTGAGGTATGATTAATCTGAGCCAACAGCTAGCCTGAGGTATGGTTAATCTGAACTAACAGCTAGTCTGAGGTATGGTTAATCTGAACTAACGGCTAGTCTGATGTATGATTAATCTGAGCTAACAGCTAGTCTGACGTATGATTAATCTGAGCCAACAGCTAGTCTGAGGTATGATTAATCTGAGCTAACAGCTAGTCTGAGGTATGGTTAATCTGAACCAACAGCTAGTCTGAGGTATGATTAATCTGAACCAACAGCTAGTCTGACGTATGATTAACATGAACTAACAGCTAGTCTGACATATGATTAATCTGAGCTAACAGCTAGTCTGAGGTATGGTTAATCCGAGCTAGTCTCAATTAACTTGAAAACAATCCTGATTCCTGCTGTGTCCTAAAATATAAAAACAACCTTAAAGGTAAACAGAAATATTTAGAAAGGTTTTCTGTTCATTTATCCATCCATCCATTTTCTTCTGCTTAGCCGGAGTCGGGTCACGGAGGCAGCAGCCTGAGTGGAGAGGCCCAGACTTCCCTCCTGTGAGTGAAAGTGTGTTTAAGTGAGTGTGTAAGTGAGCGTGCATCTATCAGTAATTGTGTGTGTGTGAGGGTGTATCTGTGAGTGTGTGAGTGTAAGTGAGCGTGTATCTATGAGTGTGTATTTGTGTGTGTGTGTGAGGAGGTGTCATCAGGAATGAGGAAGTGAGCTGCAGGAGGCGGCCCGTGGGCTCTGAAATGAGTCGGATCACTTCCTGTTTTTCTCTGCAGCTTCAGGCTCAGACAGAAAAAACCACAACCCGGTCCAAGCCCAGACCTGATCCTGACCCAGAACCATCACCCAGCCTGAGGCGGGGTTCTAGTGAGGGTTTGTTTTCAGCTCCTGAGACACAATCAGTCTAATAAAGTATTGAATGACTAAAAGTTTAGTTCTGAGAACTGGAGTTTCCTACAGACCACAAGTCCTCAAACACATCTTGGGAATCAGTAAACCAGATGAGGATGGTTCTGACATTTGTTCGTTTGGACCAGAGCAGCCCCTGCAGGGAAAAGATAAGAGATGTTAGTGATGAAGTAAAAATCAAAACAACAATCTTAAATATTGGAATATTTTAAACAACCTATGAAAACAAACAGAAACCATTACAGATTTTTCAGTGTGGTCTTACCCGTACTGCACACTGGAAGCATCTGCGGCGAAAAGGTTTACTCGCTAGTCGCTGCCCTCCAGTGGACACTGGGAGAGTCTTGAGTCGCAAAGCAGCTTCTCCGCTGTGCTCCTCGCTCCACTCACCAGATCTCAAAATCCCTCCAGTTATCTACATAGATTTGAAATCACTGCAACAGACTTTTATTTTGAAAATTACCAGGGGTTTTACACTGAAACCGTGTGATTTCCTGTCTAGCCCTATATTAACTGCAGAAATGGTGTTCCAAAAGCGGCTCCTAACTGGGAGTCTGAGGTAGGGCTGAGCGTGTAAAAGCTTACATACATGTTTCACGTGTCCAGTTAGAAGCTCGGTTTCACCGACACGCTTTAGATCGGGGTCAGTCGTCGAGTGAATAATCCTCATGAGACACAAAAATGTATCGTTTTTACAAAAATGATAAAACCAAAAACAGGAATGTGGGTAAAAATTTGAGCGTAAAAAAGTCAGAATATGTTGATCCTTAAGTTCAAGTGGGGCCACAAATGGCCCCTGAGCCACACTTCGGACACGCCCGCTTTAGGGGTAATGGTTTGTTCATCAGGTAAAGGCCACCTGCTCTTAGCTCAGATCCTTGATAAACCACGTCTCAGCTGTGGCGGCCATCTTTACTCGGGTTAATCAGCTGACGAACCTGGATGAAGTCACTATTATCCCATCCTAAACGGGTCAGAACCGGTAAACAAACCAGAAGAATCTGAGTTTAAACTAATTTAATCCCATCAGATTAAACAAACGTCAGTAATAATCAGCAGCAGTTTTCATCAAAGGCCCGCAGACTGCACCCAGCTGGTTCCCAGTAACCCGCTTTTGGTTCCTGACACTGCAGAGCTGCGCGCACACACACACACATTCCCTAGCAACTTAACTGCACCGGCAGCAGCAGCCTGTCGCCATGGTAACCGGCCCAAATCCCCGGTCACCACAATGTGAGGTCAGTGTTTCCATGGCAACAGAGCAGATGAACGGTAATCCGTCCTTGTTTGTGCACCGGGACATGGGAGGGGAGGGGAAAGGGAGTGGAGGAGTCGTCGTGGCGATCACATGATCACCCCAGCTGCTGCAACCCCCCTCCCCAGCAAATTTCTGCAGACGCAGAGCACTGATGATGCTGATGAGGGAGATGAGGTCACAGAAAACACGCAGCGGCTGAGGCTGAAGGAGTGTCAGCTGTTGCCTGGATTTGGGTTGTGTGAATATTTATTTACATCAGAGAAACAAACATTAAGAATTTTGTTCTAAATATTTTTTCTGTTTCTTCAGAAAATAAGAAGCTGCAGTTCCTCAAGTGGGTCTGGTTTAACCATAAACTGGGTCAGCGTGTGTGGGCGGGTAGGTGGGGGTGGGGCGGCGGTTACAGCCACCGGAAGCCCTGCAGCAGAGAACCTGCGAGTTCCCCGTTAGAACCACTAAACGCAGACATGTTCGGCGGCGCTTTGATCTCCTCTGACTCCGCCTTTTCCCCTTCTTTCTCTGGCATCTTTCAAACCGTTTGGCAGTTTCTGATTGGCTGGCTGAACGGGCTTGGTGTGAGGGGGCGGGGTGTGAGAACCAATCAGATCCCACCCTCATCTCCCGGCCCCTCCATCAATAATCATCCCTCCCCCACATGAAAACTTCCCTCTGAGTTGTATCTGCCCCGCCCACCTCGGAGCAGCCAGGGAAGGGGTGGGTTCACTCGACACACACACGCGCGCGCGCACGCACGCACACACACACACACACACACACACACACACACACACACTCCAGTTACAGCTTCTACAACTCGGCAGCCATTTTCTCTCCTCAGTTCTTCAGAGGAGTCCTGGTAGTGTGTGTTTGTGTGTGTGGATTAGACCCAGAGAACATACACCTGGGATGGTCCGAGCCACAGACAGAACCAAACACTTTCAGTGTAAGGTCATTAGGTCATGTGACCCACAGAGGTTCATGTTTCTACCTAAAAAATCTCACAGATTACTCCAACAGTTCACAGATGAATTAGTTTATTCATTCAAAGGTCAAAGTCTTTCTGATTTTACCTGCTCGTTTCTCAAGCCTAAGGTGTGTTTGGGTCAAAGCCTTCCTCCAGGTGTTTCCAGGTGTTCCTGGTTTTATCGAACCAACACAGAAATCAACTGAAACAACGAGCCTCCAGCTACCAGTGGTGTTATTAGTTAGTGCTTTTACGACAGAACTTCCTGGTTCTGGCCCAGACCAACAGAAGCTGCTTCAGACTCAAACCGTTTCCTGGTTCTGACACCAGAACTCACTTGTTCTGATTTTTAGGTTAAGCTGGAATTTCTGATCTGACTTTTACACCGAATTCCTTTGTTTTCCCCGGTAATGAGCCAGATCGGCTGCAGCACTTCCCGTTTGCTTTAATTAACCAATCAGAACATCTGGAACAATGACGGAAATGTGATTAAAGTCTTTCTACTTTGTTCCTCTTCCTGGTTTGAAGAGGAAGTTCCTCCCAGAAGCAGAGAGGAACTTGGTCTTCGAGCAGGAGGCGACCATGTTTACTCAATTAACTGGACTCTCTGTGGGCAGCAGAACCGGTCCTGCTGGGCCAAACGGGACCGATGGAGAGGCGGCGTGAGAAGAAATGAAAGGAATGATGGGAGGAAACGACTTTACTTCTTAGACAACAGCAAACTGAAAGAGAGAAGAGGAAAAAAAAAGACACATGAATGAACCTTTACTCAGGATAACGAGCGGCATGTACTCCTTATACGGAAAGCCAAACTATCATTTATCCTGATGAGGAGGTCTGGACTGGTCTGTAAGTACATGAAATGTTTCAGACACACGTTCTGCTTCTCTGGTGGTTGTAGAAAAAATTCAGGTGTGATTAGAGGCTTTAATCTCCTGAAAAAATAAAACTATCGAGTTAAAATAATCCAGTCAGATTATCCTAATCTACGGTGATTTTCAGTCATTTCTGTTCTATTACAGATTCATAGACTTCCTGGTTCTATTCGGATGACTAACAGGTAGAAGCCGATGTCCCCCCCTTGAAGACTCACTTGAAGTTGTCCTTGTCCTGCAGGTTGAGCACCAGGCTGTCGGCGTTCAGGTACACTTTGTTCTGGGACTGTGACATCTGCAGGTGAGAGAGCACAGGTGTGGCGTTAGCGAGGCCAGGACTGGTGGAAGAACACAGAACATTGTTCCCGTCCAACGGCGGACCGATCAGCATCAGAACAGGAAGTGCTGGAGTCAGGATGAGAATCTGTAGTTTAAACTATTCTGTTTCTGAATCCTGCCAGAAGGTGAAAGGTCAGAGTTGTTGGTTCCTGCTCCAATGTCGCCCCCTGCTGGACAGTTCAATCATCTGCAGCTGAGCAGGTAGAACCTTCAGGCGAGTTGGAACCAGAACCAGATCAGTTTCTGGAGGTTAAATAAAGCCAACACAGCAGAGACTAGGGTTTAATCTGGATAATCTCTGAGGGTGTGAAGGTTTTTAATAAAGAAAACTGTTTTAACTCCTTCCTGCTTCATTGTTGTCGTCATCAGAAATACTGAGAAGATAATACAAAGTTAAAAAGATTTTAATCCCAAATCCCACATAATCCGCTACTTTCATTTCTGTTAAACACGAAATCAGGCAGGAAGTCTGCTTTTACTTTGAAAGGAAACAGAACCATCCTGAGACCCGGTTTTAATGGTAAATAGCCTGTATTTGTATACGTCTTCTACAACCCCCCAAGGTGCTTCACAGCACATTCAGTCATTCACCCATTCACAGGCTGGTGGTGATGAGCTATGATGTAGCCACAGCTGCCCTGAGGAACACTGCCAGAGGTGAGTCTAGCCCCTCTGACCACCACCAGCAGGCGAGGTGGTTTAAGTGTCTTGCCCAAGGACACAACAGCAGCATTCTCTGGTCGGAGCCGGGATTAAACCGGCAACCTTCCGATTACCGGACAACCCACTCCACCTCCTGAGCTGCTGCAACCCTGTAGTCGAGGAGTGATGTCTCTTGTACCTGAGACAGTATTCAGGTGTTTCTCTGCTACAGAAAATACCGGTTCTGTCTGGGTAACGTTTCAGTGGACAAGTCCAAACAGAACCAGCAACCGTCTGGGTCCTGGTCCAGATTACCGCCACAGGAGACAAACTTTACACATGGAGGGTTCCTCACCGTCTTGGCGATGTTCTGCGCTGCCCGGATCTTTCTGAGTTTCAGGTAACCTGGGTTCTTCGTCACCGCCTCACCCAGCTGTAAAAAACACACACACACACACACACACACACACACACACACACACACACACACACACACACACACACACAGTTACAGTAACAGAACAACAGGAGGAGAGACCTGTTGGCCCGGGGCCGACAGGAAGCCGGCCGAGCCGGTCTGTTCAGAGGAACAGAACCATCAGCCTGAGCATCAAAGGTGCAGGCGTGTCGCCGCTCGTTTGTCACGCATGAACAGCAACGATGGCGTGTCTAATTAGTTACAATCATCCAGATTAATATTTAACAGTAAGATGATGCAGACCAAGGGAGGGACTCAGGAAGGAGGGTGGGGTCTCTTAAACAAGTCATGATTTAAGATCTCCATCCCATTAGTCAGCCTCTGCAGGTTAAACCTACAGACTCCTGAAACAGATCAGATTAAATCCTAATCTGAGGGAGATTACGTAAGAATCTGGTGCAAAGTTCACTTATGTCAGTAGTAGGGTTGCAACGATGATAAATTCTGGTGGTGTGATTATAGTCTGAGAAAGAATCGCCGTAGGGCTGGGCAATAACTAGACAAATGAAAGATGTGTAGGTTGACAGCGTTCATGTCCCTCTAAGAAGCTGAACCACCTTGAGTCATGTAGAAATGTGACTCAACGTATACATGAGACAGCCCCATCTAGTGGACAAGCTTCGTTTCCGCGCATACCTGTATTTATCGTCCATTTATCGTCATCGAGGTGAAATCCTCAGTATAAGGTGATATTGATTTAAGGCCACATCGCCCAGCCCTACACCACATCTTTATTAACACAAATCACACACACACATTCTATAGATTACTGATAAAAGCCATGATTACATTCTATAAAGGTTTTGAACCTCTGAATTATCCGTCGTTACTTTTCAGGAAAAATTCACTATTGCTGATTTTCAACGTTGATGTTTTATCTCCACACATAACACAAGCCTGGAGGAGTTCTGCTGTGTGGTGGAGTTGCTAATAGGGCTGCTCGATTAATCAAATTTTAATCTCAACTATGATCTGAGTTTTGAACGATTATAAAAACAAAACAACCCAATTGAAGTGAGCCTCTCTGTATACGCTGCTAGAAGGCTGGAGCCATTCCAACGAATTATTTTAGCTGATTGAGCTAAGATGGTGGAGGAGGCTAAGCCGAATGGCTCTCCAGATGATGTGGTACCTCCTCGCCTTTTTAAAGAAGTCTTTCCAACAGTAGCCCCTTCAATATTGCACATGATTAATGTAAGTTTGGCTTCTGGTTTGGTTCCAGACGATGTGAAAAAGGCAGTCGCACAGCCTTTACTGACAATGCCTGGACTGGATGCTTCACTGCCTGCTAATTATAGGCATGTTTCTACACTCCCTCTTGTGTGCCGTCAGTGGTGTAACGGAATGAAGTGACTGTTTCCCCTCTCCTCTGCACAGAACTAGTCTGCATGAGATATGGCCTCAAGGTCTCATGCATTTGCTTCTAACATGCTTCTTTTCAGCTCAACAGAAGAATGAGGAACGGACTCTTTCCTTTTAATTAATCAAAGAACTCTATTTTAATAAAGCTAATCACACAAAGTGTTAAGTCACTAAATAAGATGTGACCAATCTGTGAAATCAAAATATTAGTTACTTTATTATAATCCTATAGAATATAAAGGTACTATGACTTTAAACGTTCCAATAGGACTGATCTCACGTAGCGTTAAAAGACATCACACATTGCTTTCACTGATCCAATCAGAATCTGCCAGATCTGACGGAGGTGTGGTTTTGATGGTGTTTGGTAAGTCAACTTTTCATTTGACCATAAACCAAAACACCTGAAGTATAACCCCCAAATTCCACTACCTCCGCTCCGCTCCGGCACGAACTCTGGAAATAAATCGTTCCCGTTGTAGTCAATCAGAGCAATTCCACTACTGCGGCCATGCTCCGGCAGTGCGGCGCAGTGCGCCGCCCTCTGTTCCGGCGTCCTGCAAAAATAGAATCGATCCTATTTTTGCCGGACGCCGGTGCACCTCCGCAGTCAATGGACAGGAATCACAACTGCCCAACAGGAAAAGGAGCAAATACAACTTCCGTTTTTCACAATAAATCGATAAACAAAAAGCGTTTTTTGTTTCATATGCACAGGTTTAACAACCTTTAACAACTATCAATGGCGGCTGAACTTTAAATGCACAAAAATAAGCCATAAATACAGTTTCCACTATCAAAGTAGTCACACTTTGTTGATCCAAACACTGCTGATCTCTCAACACAAATGATGGGCAGATTAAACTGTTCATTTCGATGCTTCTACCACACAACGGGTGTTTGGATCTAACTTCCGCGTTTATTGTTCGGACTGTATCGCAAGATCTCGAAAATCCTGCGCATGCTTGTTTGCCCACCTCAGGTCTCCGCACCGGAGCGGAGCCGTTGTAGAGAGGGTACCAGTAAAATTGAGTTCGGAAGCGAGCTGCTGCGGAAGGCGGGGGTGGACCGGAGGTAGTGGAATTTGGGGGTAAAACTATGCCCACATCATCTCAAACGCCAGTTCAAAGCGTTCTAGAGAAGTGTTGGAGTGGCCAATCCGTAACTTTCCTCTACAACCGACAGAACCAACGACAAGCTGGATAAAACTGTTCCAACTGCTGCAACGATTCCCTTCAGAATAAAAGCTGAACCATCAAGACCCAGGTTTGGGTCTCGCTAAACGCCAACAAAATTGTCGTGACCCGGAAGCATCTCACAGACTGGTCTGGTCGGCAACCGCTGCTTTTCTTACTGGCTTCGGTTCCAGAAAAGGTCAAGCTGGACCTCGACATTCCTGATCTAACGGGGACTTCCACTAAGGGTATGTAGGCCGACAAATGGCGTCAAATGTGTTTATGAATCTCCTAATCAAAGCTTAGCACAAAGACATCATCTTCAGTTCCCATCAGAACTAATCGCTTCTTCGGATTTGCTGGTTCTGAGCAACATCACACCTTACCCCATTCATCGTCTCATCCACCTTAGTTACACCATACATTTAGTGTTTAAAGTTAGTCTAGTTTAATTTGTTTAGTAATAAATTTTTAAACTTTGAAACTTGACTCTCTCTCTCTCTTCTGTTGTCTCTGAGTGAATACGTAGCGGTTATCTAATCCCTGCATTAAAAAGTTCCAATCTTCTGGTTTAAAATAACCTCACAGATCCATAAGGTTGATTTCATATTTACTATGGAATCTTACGCCTTATGGCTTATTAAATACCATGTAATTTAAATCATTACAGTGGTTGGCGTTTATGGATGGGATGATATTTTAGAAACCTTTTAGTTCAGTTTAAGGGCCCTACACAGTACTGATTGTGGCAAACCTGTGCTGCTAATTCTGCTTGATCTCACTGCTGCCTTTGACACACTACATCATGAAGTGTTGCTTCATCGTCTTCAACACTACAGGTCCTTCTCAAAAAATTAGCATATTGTGATTAAGTTCATTATTTTGTGTAATGTACTGATAAACATTAGACTTTCATATATATTAGATTCATTACACACAACTGAAGTAGTTCAAGCCTTTTATTGTTTCTAATATTGATGATTTTGGCATACAGCTCATGAAAACCCAAAATTCCTATCTAAAAAAATTAGCATATTTCATCTGACCAATAAAAGTGTTTTTAATACAAAAAAAAGTCAACATTCAAATAATAACGTTCAGTTATGCACTCAATACTTGGTCGGGAAACCGGAAATGACTGCTGAGGTGTTATGGAGGCCCAGGATGCTTCGATAGCGGCCTTAAGCTCATCCAGAGTGTTGGGTCTTGCGTCTCTCAACTTTCTCTTCACAATATCCCACAGATTCTCTATGGGGTTCAGGTCAGGAGAGTCGGCAGGCCAATTGAGCACAGTAATACCATGGTCAGTAAACCATTTACCAGTGGTTTTGGCACTGTGAGCAGGTGCCAGGTCGCGCTGAAGAATGAAATCTTCATCTCCATAAAGCTTTTCAGCAGATGGAAGCATGAAGTGCTCCAAAATCTCCTGATAGCTAGCTGCAATGACCCTGCTCTTGATAAAACACAGTGGACCAACACCAGCGGCTGACATGGCACCCCAGACCATCACTGACTGTGGGTACTTGACACTGGACTTCAGGCATTTAGGCATTTCCCTCTGCCCAGTCTTCCTCCAGACTCTGGCAACTTGGTTTCCGAATGACATGCAAAATTTGCTTTCATCCGAAAAAAGTACTTTGGACCACTGAGCAACAGTCCAGTGCTGCTTCTCTGTAACCTGGTCAGGCGCTTCTGCCACTGTTTCTGGTTCAAAAGTGGCTTGACCTGGGGAATGCGGCACCTGTAGCCCATTTCCTGCACACGCCTGTACACAGTGGCTCTGGACGTTTCTACTCCAGGCTCAGTCCACTGCTTCCGCAGGTCCCCCAAGGTCTGGAATCGGTTCTTCTCCGCAATCTTCCTCAGGATCTGGTTACCTCTTCTCGTTGTGCAGCGTTTTCTGCCACACTTTTTCCTTCCCACAGACTTCCCATTGAGGTACCTTGATACAGCACTCTGGGAACAGCCTATTCGTTCGAAAATTTCTTTCTTTGTCTTACCCTCTTGCTTGAGGGTGTCAATGATGGCCTTCTGTACAGCAGTCAGGTCGGCAGTCTTACCCATGATTAGGGTTGGGCATTGATTGGAACCATTCCAACTGTTAATTTTCCCCGGAATCGTTCAAAGTTTTTTATTTCGATTCCTAGAATGCCAACCGGAAGAGGAATCAGTGGCCGAGCTCCGTGAAAAATAAATGTGAACTGCAAACCGTGATCAACGCTTTTCAGAGCTGATCACACCAGCTGTGTACAGCACCGAGTCCCCCCCTCCCCCTACCCAGCGGCCAAATATAAACAAACGCATCAAACTCCTGCAGCATAGCGGAAACTTGTTAAAATACGTCTACACGGTGGATTTAATGGAAGCTTTAAAGAACAAACTCTGGACAGTGTGAGGTGAGTTTGTCTCACTGCAGAA